GACAAAGCCCTCCGTCTCCATCAACTTAATAGGCCCACAAGTCAGCCTCTCACTATGGTGGGTCCTAGCTAGCAGGGGGGTATTCATTTTTTTTTGTGCATAATAAGGAGGCATTTTCTTTCGTGCGAAGATATAGCTGATGGGTCCGACTTGTCAATGGGGGGGGGCATTTTTTCGCGAAATACAGAGGCCCTTCCGGTGGGTCCCAGCTGTCAGGTGGAGGAATCATTATTTTGCGCATAATAAGGCATTTCCTTGCGTGCGGCCATGGACCCAGCTGTCAGCCTCTCCACGCACAGTCTACTTCCGATGGATGTCGTTCGTTGACCACGTTGACTACTTCGTGCCGAGCGCATCCAAGGTGGTGGATGACGACGAGGCCCCGGACAACAATGAGCCAGAGATGGGAAAATGCGGGAGTAAAGTTGCAGACGGAGAGGTGTACAAGGGTTAATTGGTTCTGATGCGGTGTGGTTCGACAATCGGTGGAGAAGAACATGAGGTGTGGAGGGATGACATGACCAACGGTGGGGTAGCACTTCACAGCGAAGTGTGCTAAGCAGAGCTGCTAGCAGCAGGAGGCGGGAGCAGGTGGTCCCGGCAATGCTGGAGGAAGAAGACGAGAGATTGAAGATGGATGCCGGTCGTTGGATGTAAATCCAACGGCTAACGATGTTAGAATCATTTGTTAACTAAGTTGACAACGACTTGCGTTGGCTTCGAACTATTGGCCCACATTTCAGCCTCCAAAAATATGGCACATATTCAACCATTTTTTTAGAATTTACAGTCAATTTGTTCTTTTTCTAGAATTACAGTCTATTTGTTGGGTTGGGTGAACAAATAATATAGCATTCATGTGTTCCATTTATTTTTCTCCTAAAAAATTACAGGCCAGTTGCACTTTCTCGAAATACACGATTTTGCTGGGCTGATTCAAATTATAACATTGGGTTGGGTGCAACAATGTTATCAATAATTAAACAGGGGCTCAACATTTTGTTATAAATATATTTAAATAATAAGTGATTTATTATTACATTGGTCCTTAAATCTTACCAAGCTTTTGTACACAATCAACAGGATTTTCGTTGCCAAAAATCCAGTATTTTATTAATAAGAAATTATTTTTATAAGTTAATAAGATGTGGGATATTGTTTTCTTACATATGTTTGTATCTGTTAAATATATAATGACAATAACAATAATATATAATAACATATAAAATAACTTAAATATTTAAAACAATACAGAGGCTCCGCTTGGAGGATGCTCCCTCGATCGGTTGCTTCGCTGACCGTCAGATCGAAGTAAAATTCCCACCACGCCTTTCCTCCACCGTTGGATATTCACTACATGTTTCACCACGTTATTTCTTTCCCATGTACATGATCGGTGGGCCACTTTGTCAGTGGGGTCGTCATGTATTGGCTGGGTTCGTCGGCGTGAAGGTCTGATTGGTGCAGCCTCCTGGAAAGCCCATTGGCCCCCCAATCCCCACAGCCGCCCGCCCGCACCTCTCCCGCCTCCGGTCCTCCCTTCTCTCAGCCGCCACCCCACGAACCCTAGCCGTGCCCTCCTGCATCTGTCCTCCTCCCCCTTCCTGGTCCGTCCCAAGCCCCTCCTCGTCTCATGAGCTAGCCGAGGAAAAGAGGGGTGACGCGACGACCTGGTCGTCGGCCGGTGGGGAGCCTCGTAGAGGCGGTGGCGGAGACGACCCTAGATGGTGCCCCGTGAGCCGCCCGACCTCCTTCCGTGGATCTACTCCTTCCATTTCCTTTCCGTTGATTTACTTTTTTGTTCGTGTTTAATCTTCAGGGCCAAGATCTGGACAGGGTGCCTTTGTCCTGCGTCGTCACTACCGCCACGGCCTTGCTCGCCATTGACCTCCCCAAGTGCTTCTCTCCACAAATGGTGCCGCCATGTCCAGATCAATTCAAGCGCCAGGTACCCCCTGATTTGATTTTGTTTAGGATTTGTATGGAGCTTGAATCAGATCAGCGTAACTTGGAGATGTTTTTTTTCTACATGGATACTTGCAGATATATGGAGGAAGATTAGTTAGTAATGCCCATATGAAGTTTGAATGTCCAATTCATAGACGTCCTTCAATTTCATTACAGTGATGACATGTTTGTTGTTGTTCATATTTCCAACAGGAAAGTACAACACGTGCATAACTTGTTTGAGGAAATTCCATCTGGAAGCAATATTTGATCATGACTTGTGTTCTTGATGCTTCATCTGCGGCTAGCTGACTACAACATCACATATGTAAAGGGAAACCATCGTAAGAAACACAGGTAAAAAGGCATTTTCCTTGTTCTTATAGTTTTGGATCAAAGTTCACATTTTACCTTGAGTGACTCTTTTTTTTTGTTATAGAATGGATTCAACAATAATCAATAAGGAAGTGCAAACTGAGAGGGGTGGGAAAAATAACCTAAGTAAAGAGCTAATATGAAATGCTACTTTCCAGTGATTTGTTGTGACCTGTTAATTTTTTAGTATGGAGCTTGAAGTTTTAATGCAGATAGGAAGTTTCATTTTATTCTTATCCACATGCTTACTAAATTTACATTTTTATTTCATTTCTGGAAAGAGGCAACCTTAAATAATTTAGAGGACTCTTCAGATTATAAGAGAAAAGCCATATAGGTCATAAATGCATAGGCATTCCAAAAAAAGGCACAAAAATTGAGCTAGAAGGTATGTATAAATTCATGTGAAACTGAGACATAGGCAAGCATACATAGGAATTTTGCAGGATCATTCCTACGATCTGGAGGGCCATTATAGCCAGATTTACCTAACGTCTCTAAGAAAATCTTTTGAAACTCGGACCATCCAGATATATCAACATGGAAAAGCCTGCTGAAAGAAACTTTTGTAGCTGAAGATGCTTGATTATACTTCCTATGGGCTTGTTTTGAAAAGAATTTTTCCTGGCATGCCATATGTGAGCCCCCAACCATCTCTCTCTCTCTCCCGCACTCATTTTCTCTCTCTCACGTTTTGCCTTTGAGGCTGTAGATCTAAGCACTAGCTGTTTGTAAAAATGCTCAAGGTGGGCTGCTTAGAGGAGGACAGTATGTTCTACAGTTTCAGTTATATGATTACATACAACTAAACAGAAGTTTACATGATTCTATAATTATTGTTGGAGATTTTTACTCACAGTAAATTTCTTCAAAGGATCTGTTTAAAGACAACAGGCATATATTTGTACAGAGATCATATTATTTTGATACCCATGTAAGTTCTCTTATCTCTTTGATGTGCATCTTCTTTAGGAACTTACCTCGTTGCAATTTCTGGTCATTCTTTGCATAGCTAAATCGGTATCAAGAATATTGTATTGTTTATTTCTTACCATGTCTGATCGACTAATATGGCTACGTCTATGCAATACTTTTATAGATGAAATTGGTGGTTCATGGAGACCCAAGGTGCACTGACAGAAGATATCAGAGGAGCAGAGGAAAATGCAAGTGTGTATGTGTGAAAAATTATTGCTTTAACTCAAGGTATTGTTATCGGTCGTGTGGTATATGAAAGTACATGATGTCACCACGCTCAAATTCCAGCTATTATCACTATCAAATAGTGTCAAACAGAGCATCTTATACTGTGTTTCTACGTGCAGATCAGTTGTTCGTTCTTTCAAGCGCTATGTTGCTTACTCAAATGTTTGTGGCGATTGTATCCTTGTGCCATGAATATTTTTACTTAGCAGATCAATATAAACATATTGGCTATCTATTTACCAATTCTGAATTTAAAGCACTTTATTTTATGGCCTTGAGTAAAAGTTCAGTCATTGTTGGCTGGAAGACATCTTCAATACGCCGTCAACACGAGCTTACCAAGGTAATGATCTATTTATTATCAGCCCATATCTGGTTTGTAACAGGGTTATTATGTTTCAAAATCCTCTGGCATCAGAAAGGAGATTTTGTGGATGATGTAAGATATCCACATGTTGTATATGTGGAAAAACCAAAGGCTCGGGATGTTGATTTTTCGGATGAAATGATTTATCAGGCAAAAACTACAAGTGAAATGGAAGGTAAGATACTGAATTGGAGTTATGGTAGTACCAGGCTTTCCATGATGATGTGATGTTTATTGTCCAAGGACTTGATAAACTAGCAGAAACCATATATGCCAAGTTTCTAATGACAAAGTCTTTACGCTGGTTCATGTTTGCATTGGAGCTACAGTTTTGTTGTTATTTAGTGTTTTTTGTATTATATCCAATACTGTTCCATACTTCCATTTCTCCTGGATGATTAAGACGATATTTTTTCTAACTGAATTAATATGTCCCCTATTTCAGAAGTAACGCTCAAAAGCCTGAATAGAATTCCTTGGCAAAGGGTAGATGTTAGCTTCAAGAGAAGTAGACAATGGATTTTTGCCCATAGCACCATTCAGGTATGTTATGAACCCCATTACCTTGGTAATAGTTTTCCTGGTGTTACTTAATTATCCCCTGGTATATTCTGTTGTCTCCATACATGTTAATCTAATAACATATACAAAGGCTGTGTAGGTAATGGCATAGCAGATTTTAGTTTCATGATCTTACCTAAATGTAGTTCTAGCGATAGATAGCTTTACACTATCCGTCACGTGGGTCCCTGCTTCCTTCTGTTTTGCAGGTCCAGTTGTCGTTGCCTTCACTTGCTTTGTCGTTTACCCATCTGTCAGCTCGCCGATCCCCTGACTTGCTGTCAAGGTTTGTGTCCTGTGCCTCCATTTTCTGTTTTCTTTCTTTTTGTTTCTCTATATTACTTACTATTTTATTCTGCTACCTGACCGGGTGTTGCGTGCATGCTTTATTTGTTTGTTTCGGTTTCTTATGCTGCTTATTTCATTTATACTGCTTCCTGTGCTAGGATGTGCCTTGCTGTGTCTTTTGTGATCCCAATTTTTTAGACCCTGGTGGCGCAGTTTTGTTTGCCCGCTCTTTCATGCGTGTGTGAGATTATTGACGATGGGGTTGTGCTTGTTGGAGTGGAGCCAAAGCAGTGATTCCCTGCCGCCAGATAGGATGTTCTTCTGGGCAACTGGCGGTACGGGGGCACTGTCCGCCTATGAACAGGCTGCTTTGCAAGCTATAAAATTCTTACAGGGACGATGTAAATCATGTTGCTGTTGATTAGGATGATTCATATACAACTTGGGTCTATATTTTTATTAGCCTGATTAAGGGGAGAGAGGCAGGGAGGTGCCTAGGACGAGTAGGAAGGCTCTGGGCAAAATTTTGCCGATCCCGTGTATGTTCTATTTTGCCCAGTTAAACGTGTACACTTCATGTCATATAGCATAATAATAGCAGATGATAAACTATCGTTGTCATATTATTGAACTTGATATCCTGTTTGAACTAGACAGATAATTTTGACAAGATTTTATCCTGGCGTAAACATGCTGTCATAGTGTCAACACAATAATAATAGAAAAACCTTTTAAAAATTCAGGTGAGGTGAAGCAAGCAAGCACCTCCCCGTGTTTTATATGTAAGCAATCACCTCCCCGTGTTGCTTTGCTCGACCATTGTTCGTTTAAACCTTTCTTCTGTATTAGTGCTACTGGATAACCGTTATTGATCTACCAAAAAGGAATCATAACACTACAGGTCATGGAAAATAGATATAATTAGCACATAATCCTGCAAGTTTCACCTAATATGCACATGTCGTTTCAGTTTTCCAAAATATATACCATTGAGAAACTTACTGGATGCAGTGCAGATTCTAGGATATTAACATTTGCAGCCATACATTGGTTTCAATGGTGACAGATTTCTGTCAATCCCACAGAGATAATTTAATTCAAGACTAGCAAATACAGTTAAGTTTAAACGGTTTCCTTTGATGAAATTCTAATGTTTTTCCAAACAAAGTATGATGAACTTAAAATCCATAATATGAAGCTGTGTCTGCTGCATCAGTACAGTTGATGCTTAGGGACTAATTCTTTATATTTCCTGATGTATTAGTTGAGATCGAGGAGAGAGCAAGCCGTTGCAGAGGAGAGGGGATACGAGGGTGGGCGGAGGTCAGGCATTGCTAACAGATTTGCGGCGGAGCCTCACCACCGGCTCCTGTTTGGCGGTGGCAAAGAGAAGGGTGCCGAGGATGTGTTGCTCTATGCATGGCTGTTGAAGTACATCATCGTTATGATGTGTATGGTTTCTCTATTTTCAGCCCTACTGCTCCAGATCCCAAATCCCATGACCATGCCCCCACCTCTCCTTCGTTGAATGAAGGGAGTCTGGTTGCTAAAAAGTGACTTCTCTTAATCAGTATGTATGGCCCCTCTGCACATGCCGTTTCTTCGTATTTAAGAGGCCCTCAAGCTTTGTCAGTTTTCTGATAGATATGGAATTTTAATTTGATAGTCCCAACAACGGTGGGTACTGATGGAGCTATCTATTATTTATTGTCAATCTGTAATACTTTTGTCAGCTTCTAGCATGTGGTTGCTCTACCAGAGTGCAATTTTCTCTGCGTGGCATACACCAGTTACCATTAGTTGATATGTTTGTTGAAGTTTTATTACAAGTTAAATAAATGTGTAGTGTGGCAAACTGATTATTATAATTTGATAATGTCAGGCGCCGATGGCTTTATAGATATGTAAATAAAATACCTTTAAGTAAAACTAAGCATTTAATTATTGTTATGTTATGCTATTGATTTCACCTGACTTTATGTCGGCCGATTAGTTCTGAAGGATTCCACATCGGCTAATTTAGATTATTTTACTAGAGTATTAGAAGAAGTTCCTGATATATGTACTTAGAGCATTTGCTGAGATTTGATGCAAAATATTGATGACCAGGCATTATACTGCGCATAAGCACAATTTTTTAGTTTTTATTTTTATTGTTGCAGCAGCTTTTCTATAGCAATAGCCAAATAGTGTGACATAACACTATTCCATTTTCACAGGCCATAACACCTTTACATGTAAGTTTGTTCTCTAGATAGTTCTCTTTCCAAGATTTTCATATCATATTTGTCGTGGGATCTGACTGCTTTACCATATTTTCCTGGTGTGGACGATGTTATAGAGTGAGCTACCATCACTTCTCATTACTGACTGTAATCAATATATATGTGTTTATGCCATAAAAGATGGACATTTGTCGAATCCATTGTCGTGCATGTAATTACTTGCAGATCAACTATATAGTTTTGTTCGGATTGTAAAGTGGAAACGATAAAACCCTACAACTCATGTGTGATTGTCTTTTGATTATTTACTTCCTCAAGTAATATGGATATGGTGCTGCGAGGATATTAAGTATATTCATGAAGTTGTATAAATCACGTTCTACGATTCACTTCTGTTATGCATATTTACTTTCCAGTTTTAGGACCGAGATCCATCCATTGTAATGAATTTGGTTGTATGGGCATTACCTATTTGACTTAGGTTTGCTTCATCACATATAGACTGCTTTTCTTTTCCCCACTGCTTGTATGGCCTAAAACTATCATGTATATGACACAAGTTATTAGCAATGTTTCACATTTTCTTACTTGCAATACTGTGCTTGCATATTCAGGTGTTCCAAGACCCAAATCATCGGGAAAACAACACATATAACACTTTTTCTTTTGAACTTTGGTTACCCTTATACAAGCCCCCGTTCATTTTGTTTATATAGTGGTTAGAATAGTAACCATATGTGCTTGCTCAACACTGATAAATGGAATATTTCCAAAGCACGTATGGTGTGTTCGCAATTTGGCGCAATGGGAGATTACTGAAAAATACTCATTTTTTCAACATGACATGGTCTTGAAATGGGACTCTACTACCAAATTAAAATGTGTAGGTATATCTCATTGTAGATGACAAGTCTCTATTTTTATTAAAGGGGGTTAAATTTGTTATCATATATGCTTGCTCGCTACTAAAACAACTAAAACATGGAATTTCTTTCCATGCTGAACATGGATTCAGTGGGTCTCTGCGCCATTTATTACCCAGCTGACGAACCGAGAAAGAAAGGAAGGGGATAGACAATCTTCGCTCGCTCTATCCCCTGCCGCTTCTTATTCAGCTCCTCACGGGCCACAGGCATCGCTCTACGTGGGTTGGGCTAAATAACATATGGGCTATCCTAATATCCTCACGGGCCACAGACATGTTTTTTTCTTAGGTTTCTTATCTTTTTCCCTCTTTTTTTAGGAAAAATATGCATGGCCAGGTTTCTGATCATGCTAACCATGTTTCCAAACTTGCTAAAAAAATACAACCATGCCAACTTTACTCTCTCGTCATAGTGTCCATATTTTCAAACTGAGATATTCATATTATGCAAAGTTTCCCTTTTCCCAGACTATTATTTAACAACGTAATAAACATGTTTAAAAAATAGTATGATTTAGTTGAAGGTTCTTGCAACATGAAACTATTTTCATCGACAACATGTCTGTAGCAGGTCTCTGCACCATTTGGCGCAACGGGTCAACTAGTATATAATATAGTTAGAAGGGAAACAAAAGTTGGACCAGTCGTTCCTATTCTTATATAGAAAAATAGAACAGACCTTTGCGTTTTCTTCAAAAAAAAACATAAATTGGGCTGCCTATGTTTCAGGAAAAAAACCTCGGATGGGAGGTCCATAGGCCGGTCGATACATGACGGCCCTACAAAAAATACAAACTGGCATGTTGTGGGCTGCGCATGTTAAAAAAGAAAGCCTAGATGGGGCAGCCCAAAACCCAACGGATACTTGCTGCCCGAGTGATAATAAATGATACTACCCGCCAGCTCCACAACTTCGTTGTGAATTTATCTCCTACGTTGAAGCACCTAAAAAATGTAACTATGTTGACAAACCCGTGGGCCCCAATGTCAGTATAGCATTAGGATGAAGTTTTTTTCGATGAGACACTTGCTTGCATACGGTCATAGACCTGGTGGGTCCCGACTGTCCGCCTCTCCACGTATAGTTCTTTCCATATTCCTCTCGTTTGTTCAACATGTTCAGAACATTAGACAACGGCACCGCGACAAGCGCACAAAGGCATAGGAGGTGATCGAACCACCGAAGGCAATGCCTTATTTGTAACGGAAGTACTGAACTAGCCCAGTGGCCACGTGACACTACCCGACAGCTGTTCCGCCCGGGTTCGATTCCAGTTGATGTAGGGAAAATATATCCAAATTTTTGCCTCTACCATTATTGACATGTGGGTTCCCATTGTCATCTACGCACACCACGTCCAACACTTGCCAAAACTTCGTCCCTTGTTTTCTCTATTTTTCACACACTCGACATTGTGTGGGCATTTTGAAAATAGCATATCTTTTTTGACTGTGCATCATACGAAGATGTGCTATGCATGAATGTTGATCACCATGATGTTAACTAGCCGGTAATTCCATTTTCGACCATGAATAAAACTTCAACATGATGTTAACCCTGTTTGAAAAGGCCGTGTTAATATAAATACTTTGCCTCTGAAAGTTACAGTTTCTTATCTGAAACTGAACTTGCAGTTTCTTATCTGAAACTGAAACTTGTAGTTTCTTCTCTGAGAATCACATTGTCTGCACATTTATACTCCTATGAAACTACATTTTTAAGTGCTAAAAATAGATCTCTAGAATTCATAAAATACTTTATATGCTCAATACTGCAAATCTGAAATTCAAATGACATTCATATCTGAAAGTACTCTCAAAATACACAACACAAAACCTAATTCACAACCTGCAAATACTGACAACACTAAGCTCCTCTTGACAATTCACAACCTGCCCGACTATTGGGCTAGGGGGTAGTCCCCTCCTATTCCTCGACGGTAGACAGCCGCCTCATGAGACGATGTGAACGACGAGGGAGAGGATGGCGGCGAAGCATCGTCGGTCCAACTGCTTTTCTCCTCTTGTAGCTTGGTTCGGTCGACGAACACTCCACCGGCTCGCTCTGGCACGACACCCTCACAAACGGCACCCTGTAGATGCTCGATCCTTCAATATCTGGTGGATGCTCCATCTGGGATCGATCCTCTCACCACTGCTCCCTCACGATCGGATTCGGTGAATCTGTTTGCTCCATGGCCCAGAGGAGCAGCTCTATGTACTCCTGCGTGACTCCCTTTGGGAGTATCGCCGCCTTTTCGCTCTGTTGCAGATATTTGGCCATGGATGTTGCCGTCGCCGCTAGTTGGTGCTTGTTGTCAAACCAAGACTAGCTTCACAGGGTCGCCATCTGCGATCCTCATGTATCGGTTGTACTCCTCCATCGATCTACTTCTCCACAGCACCTTCACTCGCGGGCAGTGGGTTTTGAATGGAAGAGGAGAGGGGCAGCGCTAGTTTTGGATTAGAACGGGAGAGGAGCGATGCTGGTTTTGGATTAGAACAGGAGAGGAAGGGCAGTGGTTTTGAAATGGAAGAGGAGAGGAGCGGCACAAGATTTAGATTGGAACAGGAGAGGAGTGGCGGTGGTTTAAGAGGAGAGGAGCGGCGCTGGTCTTGGAAGTATTTTTTTGTTTTGCGTATTTTGGGTCAAAGTTTGACCACATATTGTATTTGACAAGCAAAATGTGAATGCATGTCACCAAAATTGTATCGTTTGGTTCGTATCTGAATGTACTTTCAAATTATATTATTTTTGCAACGTATAACATATATTTTATTTGTGAAAATCATGGTCAATTATGACCCAGAATAAAAGGGAGACTAGTTAATGTGGGGTCACTTTCTTAATTGAAGGGTAAATTGATTTTGATTTTGATCTAGTCACAGCGCGCCGGCCCTCTCGTCCAAACCTAAATCGCTACCGCACGCTCCTCTCCCTCTTCTCCATTGCAAAACCACCTCCTCTCCTCTCCATCATCTCCTTCCAACACCACCGTCTCACCTCTCCCTCTTCCCCATTGCAAAAACACCTCCTCTCTCCTCGGACAAGGATCCCCTGACGTAGCCCATCCTGCCATTGAGACACTGACACATGAGTCCCACCAAGCGTGGGGCCCACCTGACAGCGACCGAAAGGCAGGGAAACCTCTCCTCTCCATCATCTCCATTCCAAAACCACCGTCTCACCTCTCCCTCTTCTCCATTTCAAAACCACCCTCTCCTCTCCATCATCTCCATTCCAAAACCACCGTCTCGCCTCTCCCTCTTCTCTATTGCCAGACCACCGTCTCTCCACCCATCTTCCAAAGCTAGCACTGGACCACTCCGAAGGACATCTATGGAGAGGATGGAGCAGCGAATCAGGCAGATCGCCAGCGGCGACCAGGCAAAGTTAGCCAAGTTGAAGGAGATCCTTACTTGGTTTGACAATGAGTGGGATATTTAGAGGACGATGAGGGCCATGTGGCAATGTATGGGAAACAGCAAGACGGCGACGATGAGGGCGGTGATGTACTCCTCGGCGGCAGTCACGCCG